CAGGGCCCGCACCACCTCCAGGTGCCCGCGCAGCGCCGCCATGTGCAGGGGCACCGTGCCGTGCTGGTCCGCCAGGTCCTCCAAGAGACCATGGGCTCAAAGGCCCGAAGCCGGGCTAGCCAGTGAACATCCAATTCAATCCACTCAAATAGGTTCCAAGATGGGTGGTGAATTCACCTACCAACCAAAATGGTACCAAAACGGTTTTGACCCACAGCCACATTCGTTGGGGCGGATGAAACGGGACTTCAGGGTGGGTTTGGGGCGGATGAAACGAAACTTGAGGTGCTTGGGTTTTTTCTTGTTGAGGTTCGATCAAAAAGACATTCCGCAAGGTCATGGGCTAAACTCCGATCATGGTTTGTCTCCAAATGAGCCCCAAAAGTGGATGCTCGCAAATCTTGGCTTGCCTCGGCTTCCCTTGGACATTCCCTCCGCATCGTCTTAGGTCCCGTTCCTCAACGACTCCTCTGTCCTTGTCCGCTCCGGCGTCCAACAGCATCTTCAAGATGGGCAAAGCCCCGGCTTGGCTGGCCTGAACTCAGGTCAAGCATGGATGCGTACCTTCCAGTGTCGTGGAGAAAGCTGCCCACATCCAAATGTAGAGGAAAGAAATAAAAAAACTGACATATGTGTACCAAGAAAAGCGGTACCCTCAAACAAAAGGACACCCACATGGTCTTCCTGCATGCTCCGCCTTGTACAACGCAGACTCCCCTCGATCATCGGTGCAGTTTGGGTCCTGCCCAATTCGAACTGGCAGCGAGCGAGCGAGCGGGGTCTTGCATTCAGACGCAAGACAAAACCTGCAGTGTCTCAGCCGGACATCCCAAAGGTCTTGGGAAGGACCTAGGACTCCTATGCAGGCAAGCCAAATGGGATCGTTCCTCATTTGAGTCACAATCAAAACTGGCATTAAAATGGTCGACCCAGAGCCATGCTTCAAGAATTAAGAAGGCGGATATCCGCAGCTATTTATGGCAGGGGATTGTCCCTTACTAACCTTCATCTACCCGGGTTTTGATTGTGCCAAATGGGATGGTTCCTAAGCCAAGACCAAGAAAACTAGGATGGTTCCCAAGCCAGCCAAATAAATGGGATGGTTCCTATGCCATTTCAAACCAAGCCAAGACCAAGAAATCGCAGCTGCCCCCCCGCCGACCCGCGACTCACCAGTCCTGAAACTTCCGCAGGAGGGCCACCGCGTCGTCGCCGCTGCCTGCCGGAACCGGTTCCGCGAACGAGTCGACGTCGACGTCGCAACTTTTCAATGGCGAAGAAATTTCTCGGGGGTTGAGTGGTGCACCTAAAAATGGTCCAGAGTTAGCTAAGTGCTTGCAACCTCGGGAAAATACCCCCTGCAAGCCCTTTTCTAGCTCAGGCTACGTTTTTGTTTCCCCTAAAGAAAAAAGAAAGAAAAAAAAGGCAAAGCCCAAGACTCTAAGACCATCCAAGGCCTACGCCTAAGCCTGGGGCTCCACAAGGAGCAAATCGGGACATGCGATCATCGCCGGCCTGTGGTGGCAGCTTCCAACAGCTCCAAGTCGAAGTCTTGCACCAGCTGATTCAACACCACGGGCACCTCTTCCGGACGCCCCAACTCCTCCCACGACTTGCCTTCCTCCAGAAGCAACCTCCGGTGAGAGAACGAATGGGGATCAAGGGGAAACGGGCGCGGATCTTGGTCTTGGGCTTTTGTTTCCGCGTTTTTCTTCTGGATGTTGTTTGTTTAACATCCCCGGCATCACCAGCAGGTTGTGGGTAAGGTTTCAGGTAGGAAACAGGTCTGGTTGGCTTTTCGTTGGGTTTTTGCAGCCTTTGGTGGCTTTATATTGCCTTGGCTTCCCACATCCTCAACATCATCAGTTCCTCTCCGGCAAGCATTTTGGTGCAGGCAGGCAGGCAGGCAGGCAGGCAGGTAACCAGGCAACCAGGTAACCAGGCAACCAGGTAACCAGGTAGGCAGGTAGGCAGGTAGGCAGGTAGGCAGGTAGGCAGGTAGGCAGGTAGGCAGGTAGGCAGGTAGGCAGGTAGGCAGGTAGGCAGGTAGGCAGGTAGGCAGGTAGGCAGGTAGGCAGGTAGGCAGGTAGGATATGTATGTATGTATGTAGGTTGGTAGGTAGGTATGTATGTATGTATGCATGTATTCCAAAAAGCGGCGGGGGGGGTTGGGGGGGGGGCGGCAGCCTTCGAAGAAGTACATGCAGACATACAGACGTACATTAATTGCAGATTCAGCCAAGGGTGCATGTACTCTTCAACGGCAGCCCCCCGTGATGTTTTAAAAAGTGATGATTCAAGTAAGGGTGCGTTAATCGCCGTAAAAAGAAGGCAGCGGGGGGGTTGGTTGGGGGGGTTGGTTGGGGGGGGGGGCACCCCTCCTTCCATGATACTCGAAGAAGCGAACATTCAGCAAAGAGTGCGTTGATTCTGCACAAAGTTTGCAAAGCAGCGGGGGGAGGGGGGGGTTCCCCCCGTGATGTTCCAATAAGTGCATACATACAGCCATACATACATCTATGACATAGATTACATACATTGCATACATAAACATAAATATAAAAACACTTGCCGGAGAGCAACTGGTGATGCTGAGGATTCGGGAAGCCAATGCCAAAAAGGTTACGAAATGCTGCAAAAGCCACAAAGCCACCTGCGGGAGCAACTGGGAAAGCCGAAGCCAAAAAAGCCACCAAAAGCCGCATAAACGCGTAAACCCACAAAAAAAAAAAAAAAAAAAAAAAAAAAACAAGAAGCCGAGAAGCCAAAAAGCCAGAAAGCCAAGAAGCCAAGAAGCCAAGAAGCCAAGAAGCCAAAAAAATAAACAACGGGGGATTAAAAAACAAGAAGAAAAAAACTCCAAAGGAAACTGAGGCGTAAAGAAGAAACTGTGGAGTTCCAAGCGAAACCTCATGCATCGAATGTTCCGCTTATTTTCGCGTACTTCTAGCTCTGCGTGGGCATTTGATTGGACTCTCAGAATGCCCGACACCACTTTCATCAGATAGGATACCGGACATCACAACAACTTATATTTGCAAGCTGTCCACACGACCTGTACACACCGTTTGATCTGACCAGGTATGCACAAAACCGCTGGACTGCTTCGCGGCATTGATCTTTTACTTCTTGGATTCCCTCCAAAAGCGCAACGGAATGATACATGTGATGGAGGAAGAAACGTTTGGTCCTCAAGGAAAGCACGATTGGTGGGAAAAAGAACATGCATAAGCGAATAGACATCACAGGAGAAGGTACATGTGCAAGCAATCAAGCAGAAAGAGGCCATCGCATCTAAATCAATGAGCATATTGAAGGAAAGGACTTCACAGTACACTTCATCCGTGTCTGTACTTCGAAAGAAATGAGAACCCCCTCATATATAGGTGGGAATTTATAACGAACCATTTTGGATGGCATTCTGCATCAAACTACCTCTCGAAGCGGTGGTGTCCAGAGAAACCACACAAAAAACACATAAGACCGCTTCATGCACGGCTTCTGGCTGATACGCTTCCGGTTTCAAACGTGTCACTAAGGCAAGCGGGGGGCTGCGCCAATTCGCCTTCCGAACTCAATCACTGCCAAGTCGCTTCTGCCTGAAGTGCGGCACCCCGGTCCTCTCCTTCAGGGGCTGCAGCTCCCCTTTGGAGCAATTTACCGGTGTCCATGGACACTGCAACACGAAATGGAGGCTCCACAAAGGGAAATGGCTCCAACAACAAAAACGATCCTTAGTCACAATTTCTTGGTGTTAAAATGGTGTACCCAACGAAAAGATTCAAGAGTTAACATGGTGTACCCAAACCCCAACCTACCCGGGTTTCGATTCATCTCCTTGATCTGGCTCTGCACGAAGGAACTGAAATCCACCGGCGAGCCCGACGAATTCTCGGCGCACTCCGCGGCTTCCAGGGCCAGGATGCGCTCACCTCGTGGCTTTTTGTGAGGTGGTCCCCCTGTTTTGATGGTTTTAGGTGCCGCCAAGAGATCAATTTGTTGGGGAACCGCCCTTTTTTTCATGGAAATTATCCCTTTTGCGTGGCTTCAAGAAGAAACCAACAGGAAAACGGATGCCATTTGTGGAAAATCCGCCACAAAAGCCGTACCAATATGGGTGGAAATCTTAATTCATGTCCAGCATTGCCACTTGCGGGGTTCCCAACGAACAGCCATAATGATCGGCTTACTGCCATTTTCTGCTGGGGTGTGGCGGGGAAACGTGTACAACCACCCAGCTTCAGGCCGCAAAGCCTTGGGCTTGCACCCGCTCAATCTTGCTAGGCGGTCATGAGTCTGTTTGATACCCGGATCCGTGGCACAAAGTCATGGCTGGAAGCTTTTGAACTGTGGACCATGGAAGCTGTTCATTATTTTCAAGGTTCCATGGTTGGCAAGGATGGAATGACAAGGCAAACTGATACCAGTTTGATTGCCAAGAATTGTCAAGGTTGACAAGTGACAAGTCTCTTGGATTGCCAAACCAGATCATGTTGCTGGTGTTGATGCTCCACTGATTTGCCAAGCTGCCACTCAAGCTGATGACGTGGCACATCGCTCCATGAGGCACTAAAGCAACCCAGGGCTGCTTGTCCCTACGGAGTTGGAGCCGTGAGTCCGTGAGTGCGAAGTGGATGCCACCGCCGCGGCTTGCGCGAGCATGTGATGATGGCTTGCTTCGCGGATGTCGTTTGCTGCGCTTTGGGCCTTGGTGGTTGCTGTTGCTGTTTCTCTTGTCCTGGCTCAGCGGCTCCGGCAAATCCAACTCCAGAAAGCGAAAAACAAAACGAAAACGAGAGAGCCAGAGCTGCGTCCGAGCATCAACTCCGAAGCTCTCAAGCGCAAGCTTGAGATGGCCATGGGTCAAAAGCCCGAAGCCAAATCGTACCCCCAGTGAACATCCCAATCCAACTGTTTTTTACAAAAAAAAAATGGGATCCCAAAACGGTTTTGACAACCACTGCCAGATCAGCTCAAGCGCAACCTTGCAATCACGCGGCCTCCAGATTCCGCCTCGTTGAAGAGCAATGCCCAACCGAAGGGGAAGAGAAGCAAGGATCCTGGCAGTAAACACCTGCCCGGTGTCTAGAAACGGCTCGTTGTCTGGCAAAGTTGAATGGAAGGCTGGCATTCTTGGACCAAAACTCGGGCTCACGTTTCACTGCCATTGGGTCGCAGCTTCTCAAAAGATGCGTCCTGCGGGGAACAGGCAGCGCCGCAGCCTTTGCGCCGTGCTCGGAATCTCCGACTTCGGCACGGGCAGGGCGTAGCAGCGCTGCACAACCTCGCCTCGAGAACAAAAGAGTCAAAAAGCACGCGGGGTGGGAGCTCTCTTGTTTTCTCCCAAAGGGAAGCTCAAAAGAACTGGGGAACAAGAGGCTGGGTCCGGACCAGGTTTTTGGGGCAGCAAGTGGAGGCATGGCAACGTCTCGCCGAGGGTCTGCCGAAATCAGATGCTGGTTATACTGGTGGCCATTGCAACAGCCATGAGTGCCAAGACACGGGAAAATTAGATAGTCCCCTTGCTTTTGCGGAAGACATTTTTTAGTGGGTCGGACCCATGTTGTAGAAGGGACCATAGCCAAGTCAGTTTGTTTTGAGCCCGACCTCTGTAGGTCTGTCTCAAATCAGCACCCGTTTTTGGTTTTGGTGACGGGGGACCCCTTTGCGAATTGGTTCATGGAAACCAGCAAGAACTGAACCTTTGCTCTCTTTTTAGAATGTGGACCCCCAAAATGGCCAAACGGTGTTGCTTTTGATCTCCCCTTTCCGCCACAAAATGAGTACCAACACGTTTCCCGAAAAAGTTGTGGTGTCCCTTTAAAACACCCAACTCCGTGGTTTCCCAAAAAAAAGGTACCCTCCCACCACCTAACATGGGTTAGTGCACAAACCCTGTAGAAAGACGACTTTCCTCTTGGAAAGTTGGCCTTTTTGCACAAAATTATGTTAGTTGGTTAGAGGGTACCAAAAAAAAACAAGAGAGATTCACACACCGCCGTTTTTTCATCCCCTTCCACCGCCCGGGCCGGTCCCTCCGCCGGTCCCTCGCCTGCGGCGAAGCGGCGGTTGGCCACCACACCCAGGCCGGAGCCGCGGCGGCTCAGGGGGCCCCAGAGCAACGGCGCCTGTGGTGCCGTTCGGGGGAAGGATCAAAGGACTTTTTTTGAACAGGAAGTAGAACCCCAGCAACTTGTTTGTTGTCTGGTTAGTGAAAAACACAGGGGACAGCAAACAACTTTTTATTTGTTGCCTGGTTAGTGACACAAAAGCAGAGGGGACCCCCCAAAAAAAGCCAAACATCGAAAGGAGGCGCGCGAATCCTGGGGAAAGAAAATACCATTGTTTTCTAGTTTCGGGTGTTATTGCCCACAGCCGGGCGCGAGTGGATTTGCCATTTGCCTCATCCAGCCCTGCGGGCTGGCGCTTCCGTTTCTCCCAAAGTGTTGCCATCTCTCCGATTGTTTCTTGGTGGTTTGTTCCGGGGTCATTTCATGTTATTTTCCCATTTCTCCTCTTCAAAAGCCAGGGGTTCAAATCCCCAAACCGCCAATTCAGGGCCACCTGACTGAGTCTTTGCCACAAGCCAAACCAAAAAGCCGATTCGCTCAGATTCGGCCTCCTGAGCAGCTGCCGCCGCGCACAGAAGCAGGAGCCGCGCCATGGGAGGAAGTGTCTGTGACTACATGTGGCTATGGATCAACAGCCCGGTTAGCCCCCAGTGAACATCCCAATCCGCACTAAAATAGACTGAAATGGGTGGTGCACCTACCCCAAAATGGTACCATTGGTGTTGACCCACGGCCATTTGTCGAGGTATAAATCTAATCAAAGGACAGGGGTGTGGGTCAAAAATTGGGTAACCCCAACATGGAACCTAGGTAAATGGAAACAAAGACTAACACCTGCGGTTTTCTTGTGGATTAAAATTTGACCATACCCACAGCAGCAATACGTGGGTGAACCCGTCCCCATGCAAATGCTGAAAGTCTTCCCCACGCGGGGGAAAACAAGTTTTGTCTCTGGGTCCTTATCTCCGCTGACGATCTCTTGCTGAGTCGGATAGACGGCTTGCCGAGCAACTGGAATAGGCAGCAATGGAACAACCCACTCTACGGTTTCACCAATCTGAAAGCCCTGGCTCTTGCATTCTCTGCACCCTCCTCTCCCTCCTCTCCCTCCACTCCCTCCACTCCCTCCACTCCCTCCACTCCCTCCACTCCCTCCACTCCCTCCACTCCCTCCACTCCGTCCAGAGAGCTGGACCAACCGACCAACACCTCCATTTGGCTGTGGGTCAAAAATAGGTACCCAAAATGGAACCCTGATAAATGGAACCAAAGACAAAAACCTGCGGTCCAATTCCTGGTGATTTAATATTGTCCCACACCCATTTGGTTTCTCAGATGGGATCAGCGGTTGCTTCCAACGGGCCAACCCCCGCCCCTTCCTCGAAGGCTTGTGCTCCAAACGCCACCGCCGGCAGTGCCCGCGCCGCCGCCAAAGGCGCCGCGCGGATCCCTGGCGGAGCGGATCCGAAGCGGAAGGTTGCGGACGCGCGGCGTAGCCATCAACAGTTGCTTGCCTGTTGAGCTAGCTTTTGCTGGCATAGTGAAGGCAAGAGGTGCGACTCAAGCCACTTAGGTTGTGACCAGGGGACTACCCTCCCACCAGCTAACATGGGCTTGTGCACAGACCCCTGTAGAAAGACTACTTTCCTCTTGGAAAGTTGGCCTTTTTGCACAAACCCATGTTAGTTGGTGGGAGGGTACCCAAACCCATGCGGCGACTTCAGAAAGGCCGCGCCAGCGTTTCCTGGTTCTGACAAGCCCTGAGATTCCAACGCAATGTTTCGTGGTGGCTCAGATGGTCGAAACCCAGAGCGAGCCATGAACACAACCCATCGTCTCTGGAGGCTCTTCGGCAGGACCTTCAGACCAGGACCGCATTCGGCTGTGGCTCAAAAATAGTGCAACCCCAAATACCCCAACCCCCAGTGTTTAAAAAAAAAAAAAGCAACGCAAAACTGCCGTCCCCTGGGGCCTTGATTTTGAGCCACGCCCGTTTCCGCGAGCAAGAATGGCCAAACTACTCCCCCCGCGAATAAACAAGGAATCCAAAAAACAGGGGGGGGGGGGGAATTCCTCCAAAATGGGGAATGTGGGCTTCCACGTTCATCTGGAGTGCCAAATGCTCTCACGGCGAGGCCGAAAGCCGCTGGCCGCCTCTCTCGCCGTCCTCCACCGAGGCCAAGTAGGCATCGATGTCTTGCTCAGAACACCTGTCCAACTTCCAACCTTGAGACTGAAGCTCCACGAGCCTGCTCGACATGCAGAACAAGCCATCCATTCGATCAATGAACACACCCTATGAATATACCCCTGCTTATTAATTTGGGGGTGTCCCTGGTTTTAGTGGGGATTGTTCACTTTTGGAGGGGCCCCCACCAACATGATTTCCTCCGCTGGGTATCAGCCTGAGCGCGAAAACGTCCGAGGCAGTCGCAGCTGCAATTGCAGCGCAGCCCTGGCAGCAGCCACCTCAAAAAAGGTGATCGTACGAAGGCTCCGAGATGCTCTCAACCAAAAGGACCAATAAAACAGGTGATCACCTTGGGGAGCCAAACATTAAAAAAATGTCTTGAAGGGAAACCAACAAGAAAGTCATAATGTTGGGGGTCCCCTAAAAAAGACACGCCCAAGTGTGAACCCAGAGTCCTGGATCTGTGAGATCCGGCCGACTGCTGGCCGGGTTCACATCCGGTCCCGCCTCCAAGCAACCAAAGCGGTCCTCCAGGTCAGAGCAAACCGTCTGCGCCAGCCTAAGCAAAGGGCAAGGCTCTATGATGGTTTTCACACCCATCCATGGGTGTGTGTGTGTGTGTTGTTCTGTAGCGGACCCCTAGAATGCTTGGTTTCCCTTCGGTTCTCCCGCAAAAAGTGAACAAAAAATACACAACAAGGGTACCGGCTGAAAAGGAAGAGACAGGCCCGGGCTGGGCGCCCAGGCCTCGGTCCTGGAAACCACATGCCTTCGGACCCCGGGCCTTGGCTCCTGGGGTGCCGGCTCTTCCAGAGTCGTGGCCCGAGCCTTTCGCGAGAGAAAGTTGAGGCCCGTCCGGATTTTGGGGCGACATGTCGAGATGTTCCCCGCAATGTGCCGCAAACTCGCCATGGACTACTGATATGGGTGCCTCTCTTTTGGAATCGGACCCCCCCCCACATGGCATAAGGGTTCTCCGCGTGGTGTCCCTTCAAAACCAATCACAAAAGAGGGTTCTCCTCAAAAGAAGAGCCACTCGGGCCGAACCCTCGGCGCCCAGCAGTTTCCTCGCTGGCATGGGACTTGGAGCTGGCATCCTCGGCGAATTGTGTCAGCTCGCGTCCCAGTGCGCGGTCTGAGCTCGGAACTGAAGCGCGCCTGGCGGCTTCCAGGTCCCCGGGTCCCCGGGCGGGGCAAATGACTACCCTCCCACCAGCTAACACGGGTTTGTGCACAGAGCCCTGGAGAAAGACGACTTTCCTCTTGGAAAGTTGGCCCTTTTGCACAAACCCATGTTAGGTGGCAGGTACGGCGAAAAGTAACAGGTCGGCTCGAAAAATAGACCCAAGTAAACTAGTAGAACCAGAGAATGGGCAACGGGGGCTTTGGGCGAGCATGGATGGCGGACGGACGGCAGACCACACAAACGCATTGCTCCGGGATGGCATACAGTGGTTGCCCCCTCGAGCTGCCAAAAAATAAAATAAACAACTAATCTACTCCGAAGAAGTTGGAAATATGTCCCAGTTCGGCTGGCGCACTATGGCTGCTTGCTTGCCATCTGCGAACCAGCCGCTCACAACGAAGAAGCCTGAAGATCCACTGCCAACTCAGACTTAGACTTCCGAGAAACGGAATTGCCGCAGAAGGAACCAGGGTGTGTCGTGTTTTTAGGGCCCCCTCCAAAAAACAAAAGTGGTTTTCCTGTTCACCTCCCTCTAAAATCACACAAAATACAATGTACCGATCAACCCAAGCGGAAAAAGTGAGATGCTCCTTTCCCGCCTTCCAAGGCGCGCCGGGTCCTGAGCACATCAACCCACCCCAGCCAGAATGCCCCAATGATGAATAGCAGTATCTTATGATTTACTAGTTGCTTTTCTATCTGCTCATAATATGATATCGTGTTTGATATATATAATTCACGTCTTGAGTCTTAATATTGCTTTACGGTTACTTGATTCTATATGTCCTAGTCTGTAGAGTTAGAATATGTTGGCGATTCGGATGGACATATCGTAAGATTGGAAAACCAATACAGGATGAACATAAAGAAGAAGAAGTCGAAGAAAAAGAAGATTGATAAAATATACAAATATAAAATGACAAGTATAAATATATATGACATACATTTGAACTAAACAAAAACAATAGGATATATAACTTCTGGAACATAGTGTACATGTGCAATTATCCAAGGTACTAGAAAAGACAAATCATTCATCCCGTTCACCTGTTGGGACGCAGGCTCAGGGAAGCGCCCAAAACCCACACCTTTCTTCGGTTGTAGCAAAATGGTTGTAAAGGTTTTGAGGGGCCCAACCCTCCCTCCAACCAGGTCGTCACACCACCTGCCATTTTTTGGCCACTAGCAGTGGTCAGGCAGAAGCCGTATACCAAAAACCGCGTACCAGCCTCTGGCTGCGAAAGAAAAAAAAAACTTCCGCACTTTTTCTCAGGGTCCTGGGCCGAATTCTGGCGCTGCAGGACCTGACACGAGACACAACATCCCTTTTGTCATCCGAATCTGTGGGTGGAGAGCTCGAAAACTTGCAATAAAAAACTTCAAGCTGAAGTGGAGCAATCCAGGAAATCGAACCCTGAACCAAGCTGAGTGCTCTAAAAATCCATAGACCCTGGTGAGCCATGAATGCTTGGGGAAAGGGAGGGGAAGCGAAGGGCAGGTTACTCCCGGAAAGCTGTGTTTATAAAAAACATTAGAACTGCAACCTCACAGTAGCCCATTTGCACTGCTGACTTTCTGCTTTCAGGGACAGCCTCGTAGTGCCATTTGCATGCATGTTGCCTGGCTGCTTTGAGTTGACGTTGCGTTGACTCGTCCGCCATTTGGAGGTCCTATGCTTTCTCAATGCCATGTTACCAAAACAAACAAACAAACAGACAAAAAATAGCAAAACTTGATTCAACATAATAATAATACTAATAATAATAAGATCTGCTTTCGACCAACGGCCATGGGAATGTCTGCTTGTCTCCCTCGTCTGGCAAAATTCCCTCCCCCGGATGGCCTGCCAGAGGCTGGGCCCTCGGATGCGACCAGTCGAGTCCAGTCGCTGGCCATGGAAAAATTGGCTGTGGGTAAAAAATTGGGTAACCCCAAAATGGAACCCTGAAGTGGAAACATGGACCAAAACCTGCGGTCCCCTGGTAGTTCAGTTTTGACCCAAACCCATTTGCGCCTGCGATTCGCCGTGGCTTTGCTTTGGGGTGGGTGTTGTTTTTGTGGCGGGGTGTGGGAAGAAAAGGAAACCAACCCCTGGGATGTTTTTTGATTTTATTTTATTTTCGGATTTCTGTTGCGGGAAACTACCTGGGACACGAGCTACCTGGCAGGGCTCAGGATGAATTTTCCCCAATCATCTCCCGCCTTTGCTCAGGCCCTGGATCCAGTTCCGTCGTCCCTGGCGTCCAAAACTCTGATGGCAAGCTGACTTGAAAACGTGCAATCTGAATTCCCTCAAAGCCTCTGCCACCTCCTAACCCCGAGTGAAGGATTCGTTTGCGGGCTGCGCTCATTTGGCTGTGGCTCAAAAAACCGAAATTCCAAAATGGGTTGCCCTGGGAAGTGGAAACCTGGGCCAACACCTGTGCAACCATTCCTGTTTAACTTTGAGCCACCCATTTCTTTTGTTCGCCCCTCGCCTCGGAAGGGCGCCGCTCTTCGCGTCGCGGCGCCTGGCAAAAAAAACAACGCAGAGGCGAAGAGCCGAAGCCACGGGCCAAACCACTAAACCCTAAAACCCTAAAACCCTAAAACCCTAAAACCCTAAAACCCTGAAAAACCGAAGAGGATGGCTGGGAGCCACCAAGAGAACGGCGGTCTTAAGGTTCGCTTGCGCAGCTTTTCTCCGGCCTTTCTCAGCCCTTTCTCTGAACTGAATCAGCGCGCTGAATCGTGCTATGTGCCGATTGACCCATGTGTTGAGGAAAGGCTTGGATGGCTTGGCTTGTGCCCGGAAGATGCTGGAAAGGTCTGGCTCTAGGTGAGACCCTTCAACTCGCTGTCATAGGGGATCTGCGTCTCGCAGATGTCTCTGGGGATCACAGCCCCCAAACCTCAGCGCTGAGCTAAATCCATGTGGCACAGCCGGCTCAGAGCTGAGCCCCTCGCACAATAAATACCGGGCCACATTCTGCCGGCCAAACTTCATGGCCATTTGGAATGCCGTGTACTGGTAGTTACCTCGGTCAGATCACCAGCTGCCAGTCGCACAGTCACATGCTCACTTGCTTGCTATTGCATTTCGTCAAACACGTGCCAAGACTCCTTCGCAGTAGTAACCTCCCGAAGCGAAATGGGTAACGCGTGCGTGGCATGGTCAGTAGGCGAACGGCGTGTCTTTGGGAGATTTGCCTCCCTAACTCAACTGGCATTTTTTCACGAAGCAGTAGAGCAAAGAGGCTCCGATGTGGTTTGGAACTCTGCAAGAGCTGGCCTGTTCGCTCCTCAATGTCCTGGCCATTTTCCAGGAACTCATTGATACGGTCAATGTCGCCCCCGATGATTGCACCCCGCCAGGTGTACTCAAGGCCGCGGTCCTCGCTCGTGTGAATATTGCGGTCAAGTGTTCATGGGTTATGCCTGCAGATACACATGGAACCACAACAGGCCTTTTGACAGCAATCTCTGTTTGCGGGAGGCCTTTTTTGGGTTCAACGTTCATTTCCAGCAGAGCACGATCAACTTCTCCCGCAGCTGTGTGTGTGTGTGTGTGTGCAATTGGACATCACTGAGGCGGTGATTTCGAGACAAAGACAGCGGGAATGCAGAGCTCCGACCTTGAGGTAGTTCACAATGTCAGCAATGTTGGCGTTTTGTCCTTTCGCACTCAACCCAAGTTCCACGAGAAACAATGACAGCGCGAATGCTTCCCCCTGAGCCTTGGCCACTATTGGCCTTTTGCCACACAAGACATCCAGGCTGCCCTTGGGGAGTCTCCTCTCTCTTCCCAACTGAGGTAGCCGTGCAGGGCAGCGATGTCGCAGGCATTGAAGCCTCGCAAGGACGAGTCAGTGCCCCAAGACTCGAAGAGAACTGGTGAGGCCTTTCGGGGTTGAAGGGGCAAATGGTCTTGCCAGGTTTTGCAACTGGCCGACGAATGATGCCTTGCAATGCTGAACAAAGCCACAGCGGCCTCCAGAATCGACTGCTTCTAGGTCTACATCGGTGTTTTCCACCAGGTATCTGACAATGTTGGCCCATCCACCTCACATGCAGGTTGAATGGAAAGAAGGCCGCCTGTCCGGCCATCCAAGCAACAGCGCAACCGGGCGCGGCCTTCACTAGCGAGCATCAGCGGAGTAAAGCCTTTCTCATCCAGTCGACAATTCACATTTGCGCCCTTCTTCACGCAGTCCTCACGGCAAGGCAGCACGAGCATTCTTAGGTGTCATCCCGAAAGGCAGCGGAAAGGCAAATGGGCAAATGACACTGGAAAGATACGGAAGGGCTCTGCCTGTCCAAGGTATCGCTGGGACTGGGGGCTCCAAGGCAAAGCAACGCAGCTGAGAGCTGACAGCTCTCCTTGACCCATGCTAGGTCTCCCATGACCTGGGCAATTCGTGTCGGACCGGCTTGGTGCAACCTGTTTGCCATCCCCACATTCGGATTCCATACTGCCCTTACCGCAAGGGGACTGTGCAATTTCTGCTTTCAGCCTGCTTTCAGCCTGGTGTACCTGGCTGACTTTCTTTGTACCCGAGCTGCGATCGCATTCTCAAGCTGCTGGTCTACATCTGGCAGCGCATCCACGTAGCGACTGCCATGCAACCTGAGAAAAGATGGACACAATGGAAATCACACTCTGCTGATCCGAGGCTAAAATGTGTGTACATATCTCCAACTATTTATATATATTTTTATTTGTATATATATATATATGTGTGTGTGTGTGTGTGTGCATGTTGTCGTTCATGCATACAGTACCAAGCTGCCGTGGGCGAGATGACAAGAAGTCACCTGGCTGACAGTGTCCGACCAATCCGGACACAGGCACACCTTCGCAAATGGATAGTTGCCCATAGCAAACCTGCCTAGCACTTGAAAGGGGGGGCCTTCATCCCCACCATTCAGAAAAATGCAAACACTGGGGTTCTCTGCTGACCTGCCATTCGCAAACAACTCGGCTATTTCATTGCCACCCGGCCTCGTTTCCTGGGCGGCTCGAAATGTGGGCCTTCCATTTGCCTGGAGTCGAACGGTCGGCACGAGAACAGTGGAACGCGTGAAACTGATTTGGGTGTGTCTCTTTTTGACCCTACCTTCTAGGGTGTGTGTTTGAAGAGAAACCAAAGCGAAACCACCATTGTTGGGGGTTCCCTATCTTTGAGGCAAACCCATTTCAACCACCACACCCCACCCACTTTGAACTTGAGAGGTGGCCCGAAGTCAATCAGTCACTCCGTGCAACTCCCGCCAAGTGCCCTGCCTCCGCAAGCTGTGCTGCTCAAAGCACCCTTTTAGAGCCAAAGGGCGGTGGGTCCATGCAACCCACGCGACACCGAATTATGACAAGGGCACACGCCAATGAGATCATGGGGCAAGGGAGAAATTGCAAATCCAATTCCAACTCAATGCTTCGGGCGTGCCTTCAATGAGCACTGGCAAATGAATGGCGCAGATCATGTACCCTGCCAACAATCTTGATCAAGGCTATCCGCATGACGACAAAATAATAAACGCACAGTTGATGGGTTGACAGGTCCTTGTTTGAGGATGCTAACATCATCCCTAGCAAGGACTTGATGCGTCAGGAGACAAAATGGAAGCCCGAGTCGGTGAGGCAGGACTACGGTTGCTCGTTGGACAAAGAAATGGATGCCGTACAAGCCATGGTCGTGAACACGGGATGAAAACAGCAAATCTTCGCATCCAGCCACGTCACATCCATAGCCTCAGCCAGTCTGTGACACGTTGAAGGGAGATGCCTTTTCCGCCTTGATTGGATGAGGGTAAGCCGTTGCCAAAGTCTGGCCATCAATTTGCTCAGATTACCGCACAAAGCGCAGACCTTCCAACGTGGACGAACCTAAGAATGAACAACTACTTTCAAATGATGATGCAGAATTGGAACCCTTAAAGCTTTCTAGGTAAAACCCGAAAGTCTTCTTTCAACCAAAAAATCAGCCCCCAAGCAGCACTTCCCACCGTTGCTTCGGCATGCGCGTCTTTCGGCCTCCGGGGCCCGGCGCTCACGGTGGCTCCGCAGCAGCGCCTAGAACAAATCTGGCAGAGTGGCAGAAAGCCAAACGCTCGAAAATTGAGTGATGACCATGTCCATGTCACCTTATCACATGTATACTATACAGACATATAATATATATATATATATTACATTAGATATCAGATACAACGTCAATGTGCTGCTTTGTCCCTCCCTGTTGGCGGAATCAACACATAACTTTGATGGGCTGTTTCAGCTTGCAGGTCGCTTCCAGGGCAAAACAACAGCGTCGACTGAAACATGCTGCCGCTTCTGAGTATTATTTTACGTGTAGATGTTCACAAAAAGAGTTTGCGCCAGACATGGCAAAGTTGAAAAGCTACGGTGGATTCCCTGAATATTGCTCCACAAATCACAGTATCTTGCAGCTCATCTTCCCTGCCGGCAAAAATCAAGGAATCATCCGTTGTGAAAGGGCTGCTCCCCTACAGTTTGCCGTTGCAACTAGCCTCACCCCGGCGACAATGAGCTGCCAGAACAAGTCGAAAAGCAAATATCCAGGCCCTCCCCAAAACGGCAGCTGCCTCCTCAGAAGGAGAGCGCGTCACAAGCGCATGCGGAGACACCTCGCGAGAAGCGCGCGAAGTGAAATTTTGCCAAGCTGATCATTTTTGCCGCCTCCCGGGACGCCGCTGGCGCCGCAGAAACCGCCGGAGCCGAGGCCAAAGCCTGGCGTTCAGCTCAAATCTCCGAGATTCCCAGCAACATACATGGCCATGGATCAAAAGCCCAGTTACCCTCAGTGAACTTCCATATCCCCGCTAAAGTAGACTGAAACGGGTGGTGCACCTACCCCAAAATGGTACCATTGGTGTTGACCCACAGCCAACATGCGTTCACGGAAACCCCGCCTCCGGTCGAAGGCTTTGCACCAGAAGCTGCAACTCGTTGACCTGGCAGCGTTTCTTTTTTGCAAGCGAAGGAGCTGGAGGCGCGCCCGCCACCTGTCACCCCCCAGGGCCCCGCCTGTTTCTGAAGACTCTGCACCACGTTGTGCAGATTCTCCTGCTCGTCCAGCCGCCCTTCAAAGCCCGGAAGAGTCGGAGATGCTTCCGGAGCCGCAGACTTTTGAGGCGCCACCTGAGGTGCCTGAGGCGCCTGCGGCGCCTGCGGCGCCTGAGGCACCTGCGGCGCCTGCGTCGCCTGAGGCGCCTGCGGCACCTGCTGCGGCGTCAGCGGTGTCTGCGTCTGAGGCCGGGGTTGCACCCGAGGAACCCCCGGCTGAGGCGCCGCCGGCACCTGAACTGGCGCCTTGGGCGCCTGCACCAGCGCCACGTGCTTCGCCGGAGGCGTTTGGTACAGCTGCGCGTGAGGCGTTTGACCCACCTGGCGCGGCGTACATATGTTGCTATGCCGACAACATATGGCCATGGGTCAAAACCCCGTAACCCCTTTGAACATCCCAATCCCCATTAAAATAGACTAAAACTGGTACCATTGGCTTTGACCCACAGCCATATCAAGCTGTGCCTGAATCTTCTCCCCTCAAACACTTTAGGCGACCGGTGCAGCTATCCGAAGACTAAACTTGAACACGTTGACACAACGGCATACCTCTGGCTAAAACATAGACAGACAATCGTGGGGTGATTTCCGCTACCAATGGAGAAAGGCGACCCTGATTGATTTAGCCTGAGAGAGAGAGGGACAGCTGTAAGCCTTTCATATTTGTCGAGCAGCGTGCTGGTTTTGTTTATGCTGGCCTGGAAATGGATGAGGTTTGTACTCCCTGCGTCCCATGTAGACAGCCGGCCATTTGACTTTGCATGAACAAAAGAAAAACAAGAAACAATACATGGGTGTGTCATTTTTTAGGGAACCCCCAAAATGGTGGTTGTTCTTCTAGTGACCCTCTAAACCCAACCGAAAGAGGGTTCGCCACAAAAAAACAGTCCCACATGCTGCTGTGCAGCTTTGATGACAAGACCACCGGCGGTTGCCACCACGCGAACCAGATTTCAAGGAGCACCGTGCCGGAGATGTAAATTGTTCTAACCAAAACCCTTGCCTTGATCTCATGTCGGAAATGAAGTCAAATACCGTTGTGTTGTGTTACACTTTGAAGATTGAATTCACAGTGAAGCAACATTGGCAGAGAATTCCACGATGCTGAGGCATTGCATGATCAACACAATGATATCGAGGCTGCGTCCATTGATAAGCATTATGAACAGAATCCTATTAACGCATACAGCCGGCAGTTAATCAGCGAAGTGCTCATGTGGCATGCTTTGCACTGCACCCACTACAAAATTACCTCCGGATCAACCATGAGTTGTGTTCTTTTTCGACCAATGCACGCATAAGGGTTGACAGTGATACTAAGGCAGTGCTGAGGAAGAATCCTTTGCAGTGCTTCTGGGAAACAGCAAAAAGCGGCCTGGTGAAATGAATGTCGTCTCCAACACGTTCTTTGCATGTGTGCAGCATGCTTTCGCAAAGCTACGAAATATAAGCTACCGCTGAGCTTCAAGACCATCTGGATCGCTTTCTAAAAATGCCATCGCCAACCCAACGCTAACTTTAGGACCGCTTTCGAAGGGTCCGAGCATTTTCTGCTCAGTGTCCAAGCTGGCTTTCATGCCCCCTACAAAAACGCCCACCCATTTCCTAGGAAAAACTCGGGGTCCAAGCCCCCCCCCCAAATGCCAACCAAAAAACCCCAACCCAGTGCCTGGCCGCGGAGGGTCACCGTGGGAATTCCCGGGGTGGCTGGAGTTCTCGCTGCCCGACCCGGCGTGTGGGCCGAGCGCACGCTCACCTCGCCATGGGTCATAATCCAGATCGTACCCCCAGTGAACATCAACCAATCCAACCACAAGTAGGTTTTAAAATGGGTGGTGAATTCACCTACCCCAAAATGGGATCCCATTGGTTTTGACCCACAGCCCCCATGCGGACTGACAAGATTACCGCAATAAACTGGTAGGGACCAACAAAACCAGATGCCCGTCCTGCAAAACCAGCAGGGGTCTACCCAACAATACTGCGAATGGACGAAATGTTGCACGACCTAAGAAAGCCTGGGATGATGTTTCCGCTCAAAATGCCAGCAAGACAATGGTTTCAAAGTGATGCGAAATGGATGTTGTCCATCCACGGTGTTGCGTTGCTCATATCTGTCATGATCAAAACCCGGTATTTAAATGGTCTACCCAGAACCATGTAAAGAATTAAGAAAGCGGCCGCAGCTATTTATGGCTGGATTGTCCCTTACTAGCCTGCATCTGCCAGCCCAGGCGCATAATTCACACTCGGGGAGGGCGCAGGTCGGGGCGCGGGGGGCTTGGCAAACAACCCCATCTGGTGCTGGACGTACCTTTCCTCAGAGCACAGATTCCAGGCAGAGCACGGTGCAACAAGGACCTAAATAATTGCAATAGGGTGTGTCTTGATCTAAAGAAATGGAAAACGCACGGAATAAGGTTGGTAATTGTTTTGTGCCTTGCATTAAAAAGCATCTAAGTGCAGCCCAGGATCTTCGGCCGACATGTCAGCTGCCATGCTGCACACACTGGAAATCCAAACGCGCATGCAATACCACAAATCCTCAGATTGCCCTCTTGTCGCGGCTTTTTTGTATCCTTGTCTCACATGCTTGACTCGTCATGCATTTGCGTCGAGCTGATAAATTTCACGTAAGAAGCCTCATGACTGATGCCCTGGTACTTCACGTGGCTGGAAAGGGCAGCAGTCGATCGGAGCAAACCCATACACACCTGCACACACACACACACACACACACACACATGCACACATGCACACCTGCACACCTGCACACCTGCACACCTGCACACATGCACACATGCACACATGCACACATGCACACATGCACACATGCACACATGCACACATGCACACATGCACACATGCACACATGCACACATGCACACATGCACACATGCACACATGCACACATGCACACATGCACACATGCACACATGCACACATGCACACATGCACACATGCACACACACACACACACACACACACACACACACACGGGAGACAGAAGGGCTGCCACATTCGTCTTGCCAGGAACGCAAAACTGGAAACGCGTGGCTTGGCCATGCAACCCGACTCTGAGGCCAAGAACTGAGCAACGCCTTCCAAAAGCTCAAGCCGCAAGGTGCAAAGGCGACCCGCTTACGGCGCTTTGGGCACAGGACTTCGTTGCAGAAGCCGCAAGCCTTGGATTTTTCGTCTCGCAGCGCTGCGTCGCACAGTGAGACACAGCTGATGGCCTGGCCGACGCCAGTCGTAGCTCAGGGACTTCTGTGGAACTACAGAACCCGTTTTGCGGAGAACCGTTGTTGGTGCGGCACACAAAGAGGGACACTGGGCGCCCTGAAGAACGAGGTAGTTCGGTCGGATTCAACGTGCTCTCCCACCTCAGTTGAGAGGTTTGTTTTTACTAGCCCCGGCTTTTTACTACCGGCTCGGCAAGGCCTCCCTCCAAAGAGGTTGGCTGGGGGTTGGTGGCCAGCATTTCCGGCTTCTTGTCAGGGCGCGTATTGGGCATGACCTGATGGTAGTTGACAGCCGCATCGCCAGCAATACTGGCCTCAATCGGACGAGAGCTAATTTGGTGCCCGTTCAGGGTTGCTCGGGGCTGTTGGGCTGGAGGAGGTCTTAACGAGGGCGGATCTTGGGTTTGTTTGGGTTCAATTAGGCTCGGCAAAGGGCTGATATGCAGGATGCGGTTGGGAGGGTTTAAGGTTGACTTTGGGTCGGTTTTGGCTTGGTTGGGGCTGATCTGTGCTAGATGTGCGGCTGGTTTAGCCGATGCTTTCGGGTTGCTTCAGGGATGTGGTTATGCAAGTCTTGGGCTGGGATTGGTGCTCCAACGCCCCACAACCAATCCCAAACCAGCCCAAAACTTGCATAACTACACCCTGAAGCAACCCAAAAGCCGCCTCCAACCCCTGCATATCAGCCCTTTGCCGAGCCTAATTGAACCCCAAACAACCCAACATCCGCCCTCGTTAAGACCTCCTCAAGCCCAACACTCCCCCAAACCAGCCCCGAGAACCCTAAACTACCACCAAATCAAAGCCAACAGCTCTCGTCCGATTGAGGCCAGTAATGCTGGCGATGCGGCCGGCTGGCCCCAGCAACTGTCAACTGCCCTGAAGTCATGCCCGCGCTGCCCTGACAAAATCCGGAAATGCTGGAGATGCCGGGGATGCGGCCGTCCAGCCGACCAACCGACCAACCAACCAACCAACCAGCCTCCTAGCCGGGGTAAAGCCCCGAGCCGGGGCTACTAAAAAACAACACTGGTTCCCTCCCACCGGTGTGTTAGGGTTTGGTTTGCTTTCAAAGCAACAAAAGGAGGGTCCCCCCGAGAAAAAACACTAAATAAATGCCTGTGTTTCTTTCCCTCACGCCAGACTCACTCCTCTCTCTCTCTCTCTCTCGCTCGGCACCTGCAATTCCAAGCTCAAGGCCCTCGGGCCCAAACCTCGCAGGCATCCACAGATCTGACTGAAACGGCCCACTCCTCCCCTTTTTCCCCCGAAAGGAGAAGCAAAGTGAGGGATGTGCTCCCCCTGGTAATTCTTGCACGGGAATTTGTGTATATGTATTTCCCAAACAAAGAAGGCATCGAGCTCCCGGCAAAGCTGCTGGAAGCCCTGCTCCGCCAGCAGAGACGCCTCACAGGCCGCCCCTTTCGTTTCAGGCGCGTATCAAGTCATCACCACAATGTGGGCTTGTCTCAAAAATTGAGGAACCCTCCCCAAAAAAAAAGCTTCGGCTTTTCCTCCTGGTTTCCCTTTAAAGAACAAAATAAGTTCCCAAAATGGAACCCTGGTAAATGGAACCAAGGACATCCTGCGGTTGTCACATCTTTCCCGCACCTCTGCCGGCGGCCAGCCGCCCTCGGGGCCCACAGCCACTAGCACGCGGTCCGATGTGGATGGAGGCGATGGCGGCCGGGGCGAGAAGCAGTCTGGGCCTTAGCGGAGTGGCGGACCACGGAGGACGTCCACAAATTACTTGATGCGCAGGGTTTGGGAAATCAAGTGGTAGATGTGGCAGTGCTGACCCCATATGAATCAATTCCAGCTTATTCATAGGGCGGTGTTCCCAAAAGTGGTGGGATTCCCCACGAAACCCACGGACACCCTCCAATTCATAAAACGGGGGTTGATTCATATTGGGTGAACATTACATGACTGACAGTCAAGGCTTTCCCTTCAGGAGATCTGGAACATCCGGACAGGGTCAGTGAACAAGAAACACATCTGCTACTGGGGTGCTCGATTGATAACTGCAGGTGCACTCTGCAGGTCCCCGACGTGATTGTCCATTCAGCACAAGAATTATTAACTACCTCTGCTATCCCTCAGTACGGCCTGAATCACCGGAGCTTAGCACAAGTGGTGATTTCTCGTGTCTCAACATGGGGCACCTCCAAAATGGCTCGTTTGCCTTGGGCTTTCCCTTAAAACCCTGCAAAACGGCACCCTGCACAAAAAGTCGGGCGGTCGGGCCTTGTGTTGGAATCACCCGCCAGCCATCGGAAGACTGCGACAGGCAGCTGTCCAGGCTTCGATACTGCTCGATGGCGGGCACCTGGCGGTGCACCAAAAAAAAAACGAAACGAAACCTCCACGATGCGAGTCACTCCTTTGTGGCTCCCGGTTTCAGATGGTACGTGGGAGTTCTGCCTGCCGAAGGATTGACGTCGACCCCAGAAAAAGACATCATGCTGGATGAATTGCAAATGTGCTTTTCCCCGAAACAAAGTGAAGGATTCCCTCTTTCATGAAACACCCCGGATCAAACAACCAAGAACTCAATCCTGTCTCAAAATAAGGGACCCTCAAAGTTGGTGGTTTTCTTTTTGTTCCCCCCCTCCCAAAAAAAGACACAGTCTCCTTTTGTCCCCCAAAAAGGGGGAAAACTTGAAATTGTGTGGTTTCCTGTTGCCCCCCCCCCCCACACAAACAAAGTTGTGGCTTCCTTCCTCCCCCCAAAAAAAAACAGATAAAATACAATAAAATAAAACAACCTAAAGCAAAATAAAGTAGGATAAAAGACACCCCCGAGCGCTCACCAAAACCTTTGCCGGGGGACAGCCGGACGCCAGCCTGCGTGAAGCCGCTCTGCTCCAGGCCTTGCAGCAGCAGCGGCCGCATCTTCCGCGGGTCCCGCAGGAGGTGGCAGTGGAAGACCTCCTTGTCCCCACCTGCCGAGAAAAAGACTAGGTCCTCCAGTAGAGAGGTTCGAATAAAGGTACGAACTTTCTTTCTGTAGTTTATTTCAACAGGGGAACCCTCCCCAAAATAAATGTAAAAGGGTACTACTGGGGGACCTAGAAGAGAAAAATCTGGTCCATAGGCGGCTGCAATGGAGGGAGATAGGGAAGGAACTTCGATCCGTGGAAATTGAATGAGGTCCAATCAATCTCGTCTGCAAGGCAGTGACAGCAGCAGCCACATTTGGTTTGCCTCAGCTGTGGAACTCCATTCCGGAAGTTTTGCCACTGGTAGCCTCAAAGCCCGACGTGCGCACCTGGAACCCGGCAAAGCTTCAGCGTGGCAATGCCGAGCTGTGCCAGCTGAGGAAGTAGTCTGGCCGGGACAGTGCCATTTCAAAGACGCAAAGTCAACTCGCGCTGTGCCTCCTAGGCTTGTATCGACAAGCTACACGCAAAACAACTCTGAACTAAAGCAGGACTACAATTAAAACCTAAGAACATGCTTAAGAATTTGTCTGCGCAAGTCGGCGCAGGTGGTTTTGTAAGCTGGTAAATTGCGAAGTGGTCCAAACGTTGTTGTGGCTCCCACTGGCATTGGAACTAACCAAGAGTACGCTTCGTATTTGCAGGTAAACAGGCAAACCTTGGTGAGGACAGGCTAACTAGGCTGCACCTTCACAGCAGGAAATAATGAGGAGTATTGACCTCGCTCAAATCAGCTTTTCTCGCCATCTTAAATCAGAACCCAAATCGCCAACTGCACCTTCCCCCAGCAACGAATCCCCTTGCGGGGTGAAGAATCCACACTTTTCAGGCTGCAACCCCGACGTCGCAAGACCCCCCTCACAGATTTGTTAATTGGCTCACTCTGCTCTGAACGTCCCGCGAAGCACCTCTTGAGTCGCTGCAGCGGCGGCGGCGCCAGCAGGAGATCCACCTGAAAAACCCACCGCCCAACCAGTTTGCTTTGCAATCTTGAACCCAAAAAGAAAGGCCGGCAACTAACCAGCCAAACCTGTTCTTTTGGGCCCTACCTTCCGTGCGCACGACTTCCGGCCTCACCTGGGCCAACTCCTGGCGCGGCAGTGACTCTGGTGCCACCGAGAGCTCCAGCTCGAGCGCCTCCGGCAAATCCTGCGGAAGGCAACAAGGCAAAAACCGGACGCGTGGCATATGTCCCGAAAAGGGCGAGGAGAATGGGGAAACAAGCGTTGAAATCACAAGAAGAAACAAATTCGCCCTTGTCCCACGCCAAGCCGGCAAAAACACGCGCTCGGAATGCTTGAAGCGCACACGGCTTGTTGCGGAACGCTTTAGCAGCCCGGACTTTGCACCATGGGCACACGTGGCTGCTCTCTGTGAACATGTCAAGACGACGCTCTTATATCACGGAAAATGGGCGTTTTGGGCGTTGACAAGCGTCCAGCTCCGAGCCCCGGGAAGCCATCACGCAGCCAACGCAGCGACTACGGAAACGTGATGTGTGTGCTTGGAGCACGCGCACGCCACCTGCTCGCTGCCAATCAACGTCTGCGTCTGGTTTCCAACTTGACTCGCAGAAAGCCCGCCGTCTCCTGCGGGCGGTGACAAATTTGACCGTCGCGTTGGCAAATAAGAGCGCACAAGTTGCACTCCACTACAGGTGTAAAACGTGCGCCAGCAACGAGCATCCTGCCCGAGTTCAACAAGTCAGCGCAAACAAAGGGAGCTGCTTCGAATGCTGTCTGGTGAATCTAGATCTCAGCGGGCTCGGAGCAGTCCAGGGAACATGACCTTCTCAAAGCTTTCATGTGGCTTTAACGTTCCATTGACCAGCCTGGAGTTTCGCAGTAGCTCCTCGGGTCTTCTGGTGAAAATGATGTCCTTCAAAGGGATTCTTGTGATTACTAGCGTTTTCATTTGGGAACAGCAGGTGGCTGTGCCTTTTCTGACAACGCGACGCCTCTCTCGAAGTGAAAATGTTGTGGGAAACCCTGCGTCTTTTCGGTACCTTTTGTGTTTACGGGAAACCTGAGAGTAAGGTAGAGGATCTGGAAGGATTGGAAACTACCAGGCTTCCTTTTGGGAGAATTACAACTTGTAACCCTTCTCACCCGAAGGACATGGAAATAAAAGCCAAACCTTTTGGGACCTTCAAAGATCTCGACCACCAAGCAGAAGTTAGGGACATCAGACTCCCATAAAGGAATCGGGAATCGAAAAGCGACAATCATGCCTTTGCCAGCCTCGGTAGTGGGCCTTCGGGAAAAACGTAAAAAATGTCTGTATATGCATGTATATAAGCAAAGAAAGGACACCCCAACTTTCGGTGCCCCTTTCCTTCAGGAAAACACTGTCGCCTAAGTTACCTGCTTTATGGTGCCCAGCCATCGGACAATTGCCGCACCTGATAAGGCGTTGATGGACGTTCGTCCGAAAAAGGGGTCCAGCGGTCCATGTTAATCCTTGGTTGACGTTGGAAGGGGAGCAAACATCTAAATTCTAGCAGTTAAGTGATTGGATTTCAAGCAAAAACTTATTATTCATGAATCCGGGGAGGATCCGGGTTCCGTACTCACTTTGATTGTCCAAAAACCGAAGGCTCCGAAAGTCTCAAGTTTAAGACCTGAAGCTGAAGATTGGAAATTGTTCAATGGGCGGCGAGTCGTTTTTAGACCCCCAAAAAAGGCGGTGCTCCTTGATCCAAAACAGAAAACCGGGTATCCTCAAAAAGGACACACCAAGCTGTCCGGGCTGTGGAAATGGGAAATCCACTCCAGATACATTCGAACTTCCAGTCGTATTCTTTGGGCATCAACTCCCACATCCAGCCAGAGACTTGGAAAACGGGTGAACCTGTTGGCACCTCGACTCCAAACAGCTGCCGAGCCGAAAAGCCGAAAAGCCGAAAAGACAAACAGCTCGGCTTACAAGAATTACAAACCGGACATGGGATGATGCAAGGGTTCTGAGTACACCTTGTAAACCCAAAGCACTTCGGATGGCGCGTCCAAAACTTGTCCCTCTGTCCAAAAATGGGATCCTGTTGGTCTTGGAACGCCATCTGCCCATTTGGCTTCTGGGCACGCTCCAAAAATTGCATATGAAGGGACCCGAGTTGTCCCATGTCCTTTGCAGCCACGGTGGAATGTTTGACAGTGGCTACTTTGCATGTCTCTCGAAATATGGGACCCCCAAAAAGGTGGGTTTTTTCTATGACTTCCCCTTTGATCAGATCACAAAGGCGGTGGCACCGGACGCGATCTCAACAAAATCCAGTAATGTCCTGAGGCTCCGGCAAAGAGCGTCTTCGCAAAACAAAATCACTGAATAAACCTGAGAGACCTGGAACACCAATGGTACCATTTTGGGATAGGTGCACCACCCATTTTAGTCTATTTTAGTGCGGATTGGTTGATGTTTACTGGGGATACGATTTGGATTTTGACCCATGGCCATATCTCACCGCAAAGAGCCCGAAAGCGCAAAGGTTCGGCTGCAACCTTGATCAATGGAAGGCAAAATGGAGCAAGCGGGTTTGTAGCAATCGCGAGGAAAGAGAAGAATGCCGACCCATCAGCCCAAACCCAGCGAAACTCAATTGGTCAAACCTGGCCCAATGTGGGCGCATTGTGGCTTCTCGAAGGGGTCCGAAGCAAATGGGGGTTGCGTGCAGTTGCTTCTTCGCATCGTCGACCCTTTTCAACACCAGATACACGTCTTTATCGGGGCTTGCGTGGTGCCATCCCGGCCTGGTCCAGAGCTGAGGTCAGCTCCTGGCGAACGATCGAACGGGCTCTGCGAGCACGTGTGCACCTATTTGATCTACCAACGCCACGCAACGATCTGTATTCGCCAGATGCAAAATGGCCGGAGCCAACTTCACGCGAGCAAATCACCACTGGCCTCCGGTGACAACCTCTGTCGGCGAAGCGCCCTTTGCTCAGGCACTCGCCAATCACCTTCCTCCTCGGATGCAGCGAAATCATTTGACTGGGTAAAACGGATCAAAGGTTTGCATGGCAGAAGGCACCAGGTGAGATCTTCTCAATTCCACTTGACTTCGGTCGAAGCTGAGACGAATGAGAATTCCTCGTGGTTCGCTGATCCGAAACATGAGCCTAGACCAACAAACCTTCAGAGCGGTGCCATGTGGGTGTCTCCCCTTTTTTAGGGACCCTGATTTTGTTTGGTTTTCAGCGCTTGCTAGCGCAGCTTGTTTTGCCACGCTTGAGTCTTGTAAAAAAGGGGCTACCCGGATACAGCATCGGGCTCCCCCCGGCACATCCGTGCCGCTCCGCCGGCCGGGTTATTTACCGGCACGACCCAAAAACCTACCTCCCCTTCTTGTACTTCTCCTCGTAGTACTTCTTCCTCATGAAGTCCATGGACCAGCCGCGCCCGGCATGGTCATGTTGAAACTGGTTCCAACTCGTGTTGCACTTCTTGACCGAAGGCCTGCGCAGTGCTCCTGATGACGTTGCACTGCTGCCCTCCTTCTCCATCTCATCCTTTCCTCCAAACTCCATGCGAACCTCCTCTCCACTTCCAGCTGCACCGCCTCCTGATCCAGCCGATTCCATGCTTCCTGCAGCTCCCGAAACCTTTTCAAGCCTCTGGCCCTGCTTCTTGATTTCCACCTCCATGCCATCGACGATCAGCTTCATGGAAGTTGGCTTCTGCCGCTCAAGCCCCTTCTCCTGCGACCAACTCCTACTCCACTGATCCTCGACCTCGTCGATCTCCTTTCTTGCCAGCTTCACCCCCGAGTCGTCCCGGCCAACTCGCGGTTCCACCCACAACTTCTTCACCACACTGCTGGCAGCCTTGACCGTCCACCTGGCCACTACCGCCGCCCCAATTGCCATCAAGATGCCTCCCAGCGCCATGATGACGTCGATCGTCTCGATGCCCGAGACCTCTACTCCAGCTCTGGCTCCTTCAGCCCTTGCCACCAGGCTTGCACCAATCACCATCATGATCCTAGCCTGAGCTTCACCTAGTTTGGGAGGGCAGCCCGACGGGCAGTGGTTCCTATCCAAAACAGCTGCGGTTCCGCGGCCATCCTCCGGGGTTGAGTCCGGTTCATCTGCCCTGGACTTCTTTGTAGGCGGTTCATTTTCCCTGCCTAATCTTCTCAGGCCCTTTTTCCTGGCTTCTTCCCCGTCAGGCCTCCCTACTGTCGCTGGTTCATTTTCCCTAGCGATCTTCCTTCCTACTGTCGCTGGTTCATCTTCCCTAGCGATCTTGATTCCTTTCTTGTGCCCTTCGGCGGCCCAGTGGCTCTTTTTGTTTGCCCAATGGCCTTGCTTCACCATACCAAGCTCAACCAGAAAGCTACCAAAAGCCTGACCCGACAAAAGCTTGGTGAAACCATCAGCAACCAACTGTACACCCGGCATGTGCTCCAACACCCACTCACCCTCCTCCAAGGCCCACCTCAACGCTGAAGCCCTGATACGAAGGTGTCGTGTCCTCCAATTTCCTGCTCCGTTGGATGCCAGGCTGATCGCCGCCATGTTATCCCCGTACATCCTCTTGTGCTCCACTTTCTCGCCAGTGACGACCTCCGCGAGCGACACCAAGGCTCTGCCCACCGTCAGCGCCTCGCAGTATCCAATCAACTCACCCTCCGCTGTGCTCTGTGCGACAAACGGCTGCCTCACCGACTCCCAGCAGATTGGAGCTCCTTCCACAAATCCCACGATGCCCTGCACGCTTTTGTCCTCCCCGCCCGACGCGTAGGAGATGTCCGCGAAGACCTCCACCATGTTCACTTGTCTCTTCATGCCAAGACCTTCTCTTGACGCCCATCCTCCAACCGGTCCATAGTTCAGGCCCCGATCAGTGGTCGCCTTGACGTACCTCAGCACGTCCTTGCCCAGGTTGACGACCTCCACGCCTTTCTTTGTCCATCTTGACATAGCCGCAACTGCCACCGCAATGTCCGGTCTCGTCTTCGAAGCCAACCACAACAACGCACCCGTTATCGCCTGAGCCTCTCTGATCTCTTCCGGGGTGCCATCCTTGCTGTCCTCCTCCGGTAGCTTGTAGCTTAATGCCTCCGTGCCCTCTTTGATGTCCCACTTGGCCACCAGGTCTTCCGCGAACGCCTTCTGGTTCACCAGATAGCCTCCATCCTTCTTGTAGACCTCAAAGCCACAGAACCTCATGGGCACCTCAGCCGTCGCCCACTCCGCCGGGGACAACTTCCAATCTCCATCATCCATCCTTGCTCTGGCCGCCTCAATGACCTCGTCCTTGCCGGCCAGCATCACGTCGTCCACGTAGATGGACATCAATCCTTGCACTACCCCGGTCTCGGCCTCGATGATCCTCCATAGATTTGGCTCCTCCGTTTCCAGAAATTTCATCTTCTTTCCACCTCCTTCCCATTCCATCTTGCGGATCTCCACGTCCCGGCGCACGCTCCAGTCTCTAGGACTTGTGGTTAGTCCATAAACCGCCTTGTCGACGACCCACATTTCATCTTGAACACCGACGGGACTTCCATTATGATCGTCCTGCCATCGTCTCTTCGCGGAGCGTTGAGAAACGCCGTGTGAATGTCTGTGCACAGGAGGCTCCATCCTCGCTGTCCCGCAGTTCTCAGCACCATCCGGATTTGCAATCCGTCTGCACCTCCCGCGTACAGCTTCTCCGCGTCCTTGCCGGCTGAGTAGTTGCCGCACACCACTCCTCTGACCTTTCGGCGCCCATCGGGCGCTTTCCTGGCGCACACCGCCTTGGCTGGAAGAACTTCGACAGGACCTTGAATCTGATCGATGTCCCTCTTCCTGATCGGCTTGACCGCCTTGCTTTCCTCCACCAATGCCGTGTATTCCTTCTGCGCTGCCGCCTTCCACTCTTCTAGTTCACTCCTCACCTCGCCCATAGACACCGTCTTCGTCACGAGCCACTCCTCTTCTGCCTTTGCTGCGCCCTCCACCTGCATCCGGTTCAGCGCCGCTTCAATGTGACTCCTCCGTTGAAGTCCTTCCCGCAGTACTCCAAGCCACATTTCTTGATCTTCTCCTTCTGCATCCAAGATCTCGAGCTCTTCCTTGACCCATTGAGTAGCATGTTGATGCCATTTTTCAAAGTGGGCCTGATCCTCTACCTTCTCCCCCTCGACGACCATCGTCGACATCGCCGTCTTTTCCCGCAATCGCCTCCTTGGCCTTTCCGCTCTTGGCATCAGGAGGTCTGCTCCTACTCTTTCTTCAAGTACCACTTCCTCCCCCGGGTCGATGATCACCTCCTCAGGCTCCCTGATTGCATCTGTAGTTGCGAAGTGCCGTCCATCTTCGCAGCTCCTTACCCAATAGCCGCCTGATGTTGTCGACATCACTGCATCGGGGCCCATGATCTTGACCCGTTCGCGGTCAAACCTCCAATCCTGACCTCTTTCATTCCAACTCTTCTTCTTCACATAGGCGACCGTTCCCCACGGCAGCATTTCCTTCACGGGCAGGCCAACCGCATGCAATTGCCTCCGTAGACGCCGTTCTCCAGCATGCCTCAACGCCATCGGCCACAAGGTAGCTGGTTCTCCGCCCGCCTTCAGCAATGTTCTCGTTGCCCTTTTCAGGACCCCGATCTCTGCCTCAACCCGTCCATTCTCTTTGAAGGCGTCCCCCGGAACCGTGGTCTTCACAATGTTCCTGTCCTGCGCCCAACGCTTCAACTGCGCTCCCATCAACTCTCGAGCTCGGTCCGTGTGCAACCTGTAGACCGGCAGACCCATCTCCCTGAGCCTTGCATAGATCCGCGCAATCGCGGGGATGACGTCTGACGCCTGTCTCGATGTGATCGGCTCCACAAACGTCAAGTTGGTAACCCCCACATCTTGCATTTCTTCCACCATTTTCTCCCAGATGTCCCCCGCCTTGATCTCTTTTTCAACCTCTTCTTCGGGCATCTGCTCCCTTTCCTCTTTTTCTTCCAGCATATCCACTTCTACTTCTTCCAGCTCTCCGGCTTCCGGTTCTGCTTCTTCTGGAGATTCCGCAAGTAGAGATCTTCCCTTTCCATCCACCGGATAGGTATACACCGCTGCAACGAAATACTTCGCCTGGCATCTCTGATCTTTCCCAGCTGCCAGCTTTCCAGAAAGATCCACCGCCAAGGTGTACGCTTGTGGATGTTGAATCCTTCGATGTGCTCTGCCTCTTCCTTGACTCTCCACACAAACCCGGCAATCTCGCCGTGCTGGTTGATGATCGCACGCGAAGTGCTTCTTCCACTGCTCCATCGCCGCCGCACCTAGAGGCCGAAGAGCTCGCACTACACCAAGCCCTTCTTTCTCATGATTGCGCAGCGCCTCTTTGAAGGCTTGCACCAACCCCGGTGCCCATGCCGACCATCTCTTGGTCTGCGCGATCCGCTCCTGCAGGTTTTTCGACCATGCTTCTCCACCTTGACCAGGTCCTGCAACCTCCCCCAGTCCCCGCATCTGCTCCAGGTTCGTGGCTATTGTTGTCGGCTTTCTTCGCTCATGCCCTAGCGGTCCTTGATCAAAGTGAATCATCTCCATCTCGTACCGCTTGGCAAATGCCTTCCACGCCCGAAATCGCCAGACGCTGACCAGCTTTTCCTTCGGAATGTCCACCCTGTAGTCCCCAGGGTCCCGAGGCTGTTCTTGCCCATACGCCACCGCCGGGAGCTTCCGTCTTCTCGCGGTCTCCTCTGCCACGATGTACAACGTCATCATCCTCAACCAAAGCACGGAGTCCCCTTCCACCATTTCTCTCTCAGAATGCGTGAGATCCGCGAACCCGTAGGGATGCTCTTCGCTTCTCACCGGCCTGGGGCCGGGCGACCTTGATCTGCAGGCAGACACAGTGCGACAGGGCGGACCCCCTATCACACTGACCACAGCTCCACTCTTCGCCAAAGCTATGAGGTAACTGTAAACATCATCATTGAGCAAATCCTGCCCAGGGTTGTTCACCTTGTCCAAGCAGATCATGATCGTTTCACTCTCCTCCATGTCTGCCCACTTCTTTTCCGTGCCCGAGAAGAGATGCAGGTGGATTCTCCTTGCCCGCTCCATCTTCCTCCGTTTCCGCCTGTTCCACGGCAACTTCGTCACATCGTACTCCTGCGTGACCACCAGCCTCGCCAGCAAGCTATCCGGGACGTCCACAAAGAACTCCTTCAGCGCTTTCAGCATGGCTTCCTCATAGGTTAAACTCTCGGTTGACGCCACCTGGCCCTTCAGCATCGCAAGTTTCCAATTGAGCTCGGCCTTTTTGTGCTCCATCTGATCTATCATCTCCAGGGCCACATCTTCCTCCACCATAGGACATCCAGCAATCATCGTGACCTGCACTGGCTGCCCCTTGTAAGTCACCGCACAAACTCCGTTGGACCACGTCACCATGTAGCCAACCTCTGTCATCGCTCCCATGGGTACAATGACCTGCGTGCCCTTCTCTGCCAGCAGCGTCAACGTTCCCGGCTTGCTCCGCATTCTTGTACTCGAACCATCCGCCAAGTGCACTTCAACGATCTCGGCCTGGTTCCATTCCGTCTGGCTCTTTCCCGGCCTGAGCGCATGCGTTGCTCCTCCATCAAGAAGGCCCATGCCTCGACTTTCTTTGCCCATTTGATTCATCACGATCACCGCGTTCATCGACGGCAACCTCAACGATCGAAGGAGACTAGTTGCCTCGGCTAGCAGCTCCCCCGTTCCGCTGCCCGTTCCACCGGCCGTAGGTCCACCACCTGTAGTACCCGCCGCAGACGAGGTAGCCTCTTCTCCAGCCATGCTACTGTCACCTCCTTTCCAAGGCGATTTTTCGGCGCCTGCAGCACTCGCACCTTCACCTCCCCCCGAGCTGTTCCCCAGCTCGCACCTTGCGGCTTTCACAGCCGGCTTTGGCGTAGGCTTTCCCCCGAAATGCGGGTTCCCTACCTTTACCGTGCAGTCCGCTTTCCTATGGGTTTTTGCCCCGCAATTCCAGCATCTCGTTGCCTTGTCCGTGACCCCTTCCCAATCGTGAGGCCACTTGCAATTCTTGCCAGCTCTGCACCCGCTGTCGGAGATGAAGTACCTGCAGTTAATCGCCTCCTTCTTGACCGATGCTAGTCCTTCCGGAGGTGGTCCTGGACCAACTCTCTCACTTCTGCCCTGCATTGCCTTGACCTTGGGCTGCACCGCCCCTTCTGTCACCATCAACTTGGCCGTGTCCATTTCCGCCAACAACAACTCGGAATAGCTCCAGATACCAAGGGGTGTTGGTGCCGTATCCAAACCCAGCTGCGACCTCGCCTGAGCCACCCTGAACGCCTGCGTTCCTCCTCTGTTCACCAGTTGAACCACTCGTTCAAGTGCCACTGAGAGCAAGGTCGGGTCCGGAAGAGTGGCCCCAATTTCCTGCGCCCTCAAATAATATCTTCGCCACTCCCGCAAGGCTGTTGCCGCCTCCGCGTAGTCCTTCATGGCCCCCAGGTCCGTGAGCTTCCTCAGGATAAGGGCCCTCTCCCCCGGTCCTCCAGGCTGGTAGGTGACCAGGAGCCTGTATAACACTCCAGTTGACGTGATTTCTCTCGCCGCGATGAGCTCCTTCCTGATCTCCACCGGCACTGCCTTTGAAGAGAAGCGTCACTCCTCTCTGCTCCGTCCTGACGAACCTTGGAGTCTTCAACCGGTCCGGCACGTCGACGGTGATCTGAAGCCTTTCCAGCGGTGTTGACTTCAACCAGACCTCGTAGATCTGCTTTGCCTGTCCCATCGTTCCGGCCCACCACTCAGCAGCTCCTTGAGAGAGATCACTCATTTGTGGTCCCACTTGCGCTAGCCAATCTCCAAGAGTCAGCGGGGAATGGTCATATACCAGCTCCGGCAACTCCACCTTTCCACCAGCTCCTCCTGATTCAATTTGTTCCACCGCTGCCTTCGGTTCTTCCTTTTCCCAACCGCTGCTCCAGTCCTGCCACGGCTGCCATGTAGAAGCAGGATTCCACCTTGCCCTCCACCAATGATCATAGTCCTCATCTTTCCAACGAGGTTGCCACTCATCTTCATTGGGCCGAAGGTGTTCATCGCGAGGTGGATTTCCTTCCGGCACTCTTGTACCTCCAGGCGTCTGCCGCTCTCTGCATTGGATTGGCGATCTTGATCTGGGCCTCGACACCGGTCCAGGCACACCTACCGGTCGATCTCTAGCTTGTGGAGGTGGTGGCGGTGGTGCGACCATCAGATGATGAAGTTCCATCGGAGTTTCAAACACCTCCATCTTCTCGGCAGGCGTCACAAACCTTTCCGCTTCTTTCTCATCATGCTTGGTCTTCCAGAACTCCGCCTCCAGCTGCCACTTTCTCTTCGCCCTCAGATTCTTGATCACGTCAAAGAGGTACTTCCTCTGCTGTTCCATTCCTCGAATCTTCCTGCACGCCTTCATGAAGTTCTTCTCCATTTCCTCCGCAAGGTCCATGTCTCCGATCAGCTCGTCGTCATCCTCCCGTTGAGCTCTTTCAGGAACCCACACCTTGTGCTCGTCGTTCCAAAGCCAGTCCAAATCCAGCCGGGTCAGATTCCTCGACGCCCCCGACGCCACTTGCGAGCTTCTGCCAGGGAGCACCCCTCTGTTGCCCGTCCTTTTGCATGCCGCTTCCCACAGCCGCTGATCTCTGAGGCTTTGGTCCTCCATAGGATCATCAGGTTGATCTTCACCAGCATGTGGTTCTCGCCATTCTGGTAGTGGATCTCCTTTTCCTCCTTGCCGAGGAGCTCGTGGATCTTGTCTCTCAACTCCGCCTTCCGTCCCACCTGGACCGCGTAGTTCAGCTTTCCGTTCCACTGGTCTCCCTCGCATGATTCCAGGCCTTCCGATTCCTTTTTCCGGTGGCCCTCGTCCTTCATCCGGCCCCAGGTCACCATGATACGGTGGCTCTCTTCCATTCCCATGTAGTAGAGCTCCATCTCCGCTTCGTTCATGTCCATCACCTGGACGTCGACCTTCCTCCTGCAGACCATACTCGCCGCCGTTGGCCATTCCGACATTTCCTGCGTTCTCCAGGTCCGCTGTCAGGTCCCTCTTTACCTCGCTCCAGAACTCTTCTGTTCTTGTCCTACTGCCAGCAGCTTCAGGGTGGCCACCAACTCTATCACACTCTTGCCCAGGAAGATCTCCCTCAGGAGCGCCACCGGCACCTCCCCAAGCGTCCATCCCTGTCTCGACCTTCTGGGGGCTCACGGTGTCCGGGACCTTGGGCAGACCCTCCGGCCTCATTGCCTTCAGTCTTGCTGCATCCACCGCCCGTGAACTCCAGAAAGGGTTTACATCCACCTCCTGCCGCTGACCTCTCCGTGGTTCTCCACCTCGTTCTTCTTCTTGAAGAGGTAGATCTCCATCGGCTTCCGCCACCATGGTCCCCTCCATGGTCGCCGCATCCACCGACCTCGCCCTTCGCCTCCGCATCCCCGCATCCATGGCCAAAGAGCGATCAACACGTTGGGCTCATAACCCTTGCTAGCGCAGCTTGTTTTGCCACGCTTGAGTCTTGTAAAAAAGGGGCTACCCGGATACAGCATCGGGCAGCGAAAGCCAAAAGGAAACCACCATCTTGGTCCGTTTTCCAAGAAAAGACGAGCCGCCCAAGTGCTGCCACAGGCTCCCAGCACCATTTCACGCTGCAGCTGTCATCGAACCCCCCGTCCAGCACCCCGCAGCGCAGTGTCTCCCCGTCCCGCAGCTGCAGCACCTGGCGGCCCAAAATCTGTCAAGGCCCACCCAAAAATGGGCGTCGAAAAACCCGGTGCCCCTTAGCACTACCCTTCCTCCAACTAGCGTGGCACCTCTGGGGAGGTACCTGGAAGATTAGTTTCCTTTTGAAGGGACGCCCTCTCAGTTGCCATGTTAGTGGGAGGGAGGGTAACCCAGCCACATGGAAGCCCGCTCTGCCTAGTTGCGAAAGAGAATGCCCGATCCGGGTGAACGCCATCAATGAAGGAGAAAATATTCGTGGCTGTGCCGAAGTGCATCAAAGGATCAGGCCGACAGCCAGAGGCGTATGGAACAAGTACGTGAGACATGGAATTCATGATACCTGAGGCAACCTGGTTGTCAAAAGCAGAACTCGTTGAATTGGCGCATTCCTGTTCCGACGGGCTCAAGGGCAGGTTGGATTCCTAGGACACGTGCGAAAACCTGCTCCGCATTGTTGGTTTGAAAAAAAACACTATAGCTACTTTGATTGGGGGGAGATTGAATTTGGATTGTGTTGCTTTCTCAAACATCTTGTCAAAAATCGGCCTCCATCGTTGTCCGCAAACCACTTGTGAGATGGCTCCCCACTGAAATGCGTTGCCGATTGCTGATGTGGGTGTGTCAGTTTTTGATGGTACCCCTTTTCCGGTTGGGTTTGAAGGGGCCAAAAGGAAGGGCCCCCAAAGACAGACACGCCCATGTATCCACCCCGTTTCGGTTTCGAGTGGCCTTGGCCACGTGAACGGCCCGGCGGTCGCTCATCGGCAGCCGGGCTGCGCGGCCGTTCAGCTCCCGCTGGTCCAGCAGCAAGCGGTTCAAACCAGGGCCCCTCGGAAACGGCGAAACACAACCCCAATGGTAAGCGATCGAAACCATCACCCAGGAAGCCCCTTTTGCCAACCTCAAGCGTCGGGTGAAAATATGCGGCGCCGGTAAGGGTTGTGAGCCCAACCCGACGCTAGCCTCTCGGTGCGGACGGTGGCGGGCACAGGGTGGCCGAGCAGGAGGGCGAAGTGGAGGCTCAGGCGGAGAACTGGCCACTACATGCAGGACAAGGAAGAGAACAGGAAGAAGAAGAAGAAGAAAATGACGGTCTTAGAGATCAACGTCTGCGGGAAGAGGCTTGCAAGAGAACAGGAAACCGGGACACCTTGGAGGAAGGGAACCGACAAGGTGTGGGTTCCGGAGCTACCCCAACGAGCCGATGATGACGAGCTCATCGGGGAGATGGACTTGGCCCATGAGGTGGAAAAGAACGTCACGAAGGCGTCCCCAAAGATACAAGGATTGGAACAGCCACAGAAGTACCTGTTGGGGATCGTTGGTGATCTGAAGGCAGGAAGCGGCGGAATTTTGGAAAGGTCGAAGTGGCAAGCAGGAGATCGAGGTGTTTGCAACGCCAGCTGAGGCATTTGCCACGCCTCAGACCTCCAGCGCCGAGAGATCAGCTGGAAGGCAGGGTGCCTCCGAGCTCGAGGTCACCGGCTCGCTTAGAAACTAAGCTACCTGTTGGGAATCAAGATGAACCTCCCCGAGCAGATCGTGGTGGGCAACCCCGTATGAAGGCTACGATCATTGTGGCATGGGAGGTGAAAGATTCCAAGTCAGAATGGCGACCCTGGCAGGACTGGAAGAGGTGGGAGGAACAAGGGCCAAAACCCGAGGTGCAGCAAATCCGGCGCCGGAAAGGTCGAGTTGCCGGAGCGACAATTCGCCGAGGCTGGGGGACTGGCTTGGATTGTAGATGAGTGATCTTTCGCAAACGGCTGGTGGACAGGCACCATGGAGCAGGCAAAGCAGCTGTCGAGATCTGGCTGACATCGACGCCGCTAGACTCTGGACTGGCTGAAGATCACTGTGGATGTGGTGTGACGCTGCTCTTGCAGGCGACGAGAGTCTTGTACCGGCTGGTGGTGACGTATCAGCCAGGAGGGCTGGGGGAGAGATCTTTGATCCTCAAGAAGCTCACCGATTTGGGTCCGATGAGGGGTTTTGCAGAGGCAGCAACAGCCTTGAGAGAATGGAGGCGGTACCATTTGCGGGCGCAAGAAATCGGGGCTTCGCTACCGGACCCAACGTTGATGGCGGCTGCACTTGAGAAGGACGCAGCTGGTCAACAAGGGCGGGACCCAGGCATGTAGGGTGGCTCAGCAAGGCCACAGCTGGGTTTGGACTCCGCACCAACCGCATTGGGCATATGGAGCTACTCGGAGCTGTTGCTGGCGGAATCTACTACCGAAGGTGGTACTTCAGGGGACGGAGCATGTGAAGGAACGGGGGAGTTGCTGGCGGAAGCAACCAGCTTGCTGAGGTCGCTGAGGTTACCGTCGATGAAAGCAGTCATCGTCATGAACCAGGGTGGGAATGGGCTTGCTGGAGGAGCAACACATGCACTACGACCATGGAGAGCCAGACAGGACTGGGAAGGAGCGGAGGTAGTCGATGTGCATCTATGGGAGCGATGATGAAAGCGGGCTATGTGGTGAACCAACGGAAAAGTGCTCGCTTACGCATCTTGGGTTGCCAGTGGAGGTGAAGATGGTGGCCGACTGCCCTATGGTGGACGAAGAGGCGGCACTTCGAATGATGGACCTCATGGAGAAAAAGAGCGAGGTGCTCAATTGAAAGCGAGCCACAGAAGAAGCCCCACATAGCAGGAGGTCATGCTCAAAGCGCTGAAAGAGTTCTATGCCGATGTGCCGGACGGGTTGCTGCCCAAATTGGTGGTTCCACGGATTATGATGCGGCGAAGCTACCCAGTTGGGCTACATATCGGGCAAATTGGGTGTTTTTTTGTTTTGTGGCCATCGAATGGGTTGGTCTCCTTTGGTTTCCCTCAAACACCAAAAATGGGTACCTCGAAGCAAAGACGAGCCACCCACATGTTGTTTTTACAGATAGCGTACAAAGATGCACCTCTCTTTGCTGACTGGCCAAGGTAGTTTGCGGTGAGCCGAAGCAGCAAATGCACTTCTGTATATGCGTGTGTCCAAAACAGTTCAGTTCAGTTCAATTTTGGGAAGCATTCAACATACATGCAGAAGTTCATCAGCTATCAGCATGCCATCTCACGAGCCCTCTGTTTTGTGAGCAGAATACGCTGACCATATTTGTTTCGCGTGTGTGATAGATGAACCAAACGGACATGGCAGCAAGGTCGCATGCACAGAAAAGCAAACGAATGCATAGATCGAAATTAAAACAGCCAGGGCGCGCCCTTGCAAAAAGAACTAGCACTGCGCCAAGCGCTGCCGGAGTCCATCGCATGGCCGGCTGTGAACGCAAAAATAGGTCCAATGGGGTATGCCATCTTGGACGCCTGAGATCTTCGCGTTGAAGGACCCTTGGCCAGACCATGGAGGCCGATTGCACACAGCTGCATACTCACGCTATTCACACAAACAAAAAGGCCAAATCATTGCCCAGATTTTAGACATCTATAGCCCAACAGATCTTGATTGGGGGAGTTATGTATTTTTTCCCGCAAACAAATGTCAGATTCTCAACCTTGGTTTTGCTTAACCACCTTGCAAGATGGCGCTACTTCATGCCAGGACTACCGAGGTCAGAAGATGCTGAAAGGCGTTTCAGATTGAAGCATGCAACATGTCCCTTTCACACAGCACAAAGCCGGCCCAGCGCACCCGGTCATGATTCACAGTGGCAAACTGCTGTGAACGCACTCTTTTACTCGCGCTTGCTGGATCGAACGCTATCAGAGAGCTTCCGTCTGGGGCCAGCAGCCTCCGATGAGTCTCGTCAAAATGATCGGCAGGCCTTAGCTAAAATCGTGGAATTCAAAACAAACGCTGTTGCGCTTTCAGAAAAGCGCACATTCAAGTAAGTGGGAGCAGAAAAATACAAAAAAACAAATGCATTCTGCAAAACTTCCCCCCTTTTGCAAAGGCTACTCTGACCTGAACAGGGAATTCCTGGGGTCACCCGCAATTCCACAGGCTTGGCAGCGATTGAACAGGAGCAGTGAAACCGAGTTGGGTCATGAAGCAATGTTGCGTCAGCCACAAACTGCCCGAAACTTCTCACAAAACCGAGGCACGTTGCTTCGCCATCGAAAGAACACCGTGTACTTTGCGGAGGCTACAATTGCGGCTGTTGCCAAACGGTACATTCTTCAGGGAAGCCACCTGGGCGAGTCAGTCAAGGTTCTGTTACCGGAGCCAGGGGTTTGCGGGCTGTTGCAGCAAGCAGTATTGGACCTCCTGGAACCCGACTCCCCTCTTGAACAGTGCCAATGGTCTCCGAAACCCTTGGTGGGAGAAGGGGGGGGGTGGGATTGACTTGGGCTCGCCAATACTTGGTTTAATGTTTTGCGAAGTCTGACTTCATATATAATTTAGTGTTGCGATTTCTATGTTCGTCTAGCGGTGCCAAGCCTTACAGCATTCTCAGATTCCCAGCAGTTTAGGGCTGTCAATTCTGAATTTACTGTTGCTAGGTCTTTTTCACCCGAAAAAACATAGACCCCAAAACAGTCAAAGTAAGCAGGATCGCCAGCTACCGTGGGCGCCCCCTCGGCTTCGTGTGACCGCTTGGGTTTGTATTCGCAGTTATCTTAAACTTGACGCTTTGGGGGACCACTTGCAAAATTGGGTTGCCTAGATGTCATAGTTGGTTGCCAGTTGCACATGACCTAGCACATTGAGTCTTGTTTGGAAGCCCACATGAGAGCCATCAGAACTCGAGAAGCAAGTGCCTGTGTCCAGCCACAATGCTTTTCGCCACGCTATCTCGTTCCCGCAGGCAGGCGCGCTTTGCGTCAAATCTTCCCAGGCATGGTTGCGCTGGGTCGGAACCGTCAGTGCAAAACCCACGTTTTGCACACTTCGCAAAAAGGTGATCCCAGGAAAGTGATCCCGCCCAACACATGGTAAGCATGGTACGGTGACCCACCCAACACATGCTACGCCGCCCAAGTGATCCCCAGACATGGCAAACACCCCCCCCAAGCAATCCCACCCAACACATGGTAAACCCCCGCCCCGCCCAAGTGATCCCACCCAACACATGGTCATCACCCCCGCCCCTGTGATCCCACTCACCACATGGTATGCGTCCCCGCCCAAATGATCCCTGGTCGCCCAAGTACCCCCCCAACACATGCTAAACACCCCCGCCCAACTAATCCCTAGCATCTGAATGGAACTTAGGAGGGCGAGAGTATCTGAAAGCAACGCTTTCGCAATATTCAGAAACAAGGGGTGCCAAACCCAAAGACACGAAACATGTTGGGTCTCCAGAAACATGTGTCTTTTGACCGAAACGACCGTGCGCAGGAAGCCCTTCTTGCCGTTGAAAATGAGTGAAAACGCTTGGCGAAACGCAAATTCTGGACAAAAATGACCGACGGAAAACGACCCGACGGGATGTTTGTCTGTGTGCAGGTTCAACGCGGGCGATCACATATGGCCTGGCTGCCAGGCCGCATGTCCATCAGCGCGGCACGCGCCTGTGGCCACATCCTTGCAGCAACCAGCCGCATCGCACGCAGACCGCCTCCCATTTGGCAGTCGAGCCGTCTGTTCATAGCCTTCTAGGCGTCCGTGACAGCAGAATCTTCAGCTAGTGCTGGAAGGCACCTCGCCAGTCGCTACATTCACAAAGACTAAGACGACAGCCAACAAATCTCTCCTTCCTTTTGGGAACAATGTAGGGGACAATTCTGCCCAACGAGGCCCACAAACCTGTCTAGCCCTCTTTGTTACTGCTTGGCATGCCCGACATGCACAGCGCGAGTCACTGCCATCGCAGGCAACGTCAACATGTCACATTCGTTACCACGTATCATAACCGATGAGTTCTACACGTGTG